CTCTGGATCCGTACAGATCGGAGAATAATTTGATCGGATAGAACCGATCGCTAATGCTCTTTCTGGAAGACTTCTAATTTTTGAATAAGAATGTGAGTTTGTTCATGAATGACCCAGTAAAGCCAATCGACAGCTGATCAAGAGGAATCCGCCGTCCTGGTGGAACCGAACTTCGAATCTCTTCATCCAACACTTTCACTCGAAATGGAAGTAAGCTCAACAATTATGAAACAAGAGATTTCTCGAAACTCAACCTTTCTTAGCTTATGAATTATGAAATATAAAAAAAACAACCCTTGACTTTTGGTCACTCTGGATCCGTACATATCGGAGACTAACTTGATCGGATAGAACCGATCGCTGATGCTCTTTCTGGAAGACTTTTCATTTTTGAATAAGAATATGTGTTCGCGTGTGTGTTTCAAGACATACTCTCAGCCGGTTTTGTACCGGCGCACAACAAATGAGTGGCAATATGTTAAATGTTGATAAATAAAAAAATGAATGATAGTAAAGAATGAGTAATGGAGGCCGTTGCCATTGAAGTGGAGTATATTATTTGGCAAATCCGATGCCGGACCGATTGCCTCGCGTCACAACTCGCTTTCACATGATCGTCTCGCGGTTCTTGTTGACTCTACAAACTGACGAAAGATGACAGCGGAACAGCGAAGCAGAACTCGTCAAACCGACAAGTGACCACTTTGCGGCTCACCGTTTCCTCGACCGATTGAGTCAGCCCATCTGCCTCAACACTTGCCCATTTGCCCAACATCTCCTGACCCGCCGGTCTCGGGTCAGATCGGACAAAAGTTGACCCGATGAGGCCCGCTTTTGCCCACTTGCCATTCGTCCATTCCTCCACTCGGCCCTGACGACCGGGTCAACAGGTCAAGTCGGCCATTAGTCGGAGTCCGGCCAGCAAGCCAGTCACACTTTGCTGACGCATCCCAGTCCACTTGGCGAGGTACAGCAGCTACGGAGTTGTTGGACCTCTCGAGACAGTCAAGCCGATTGGCTCAAAAGCATCTGAGCCGGAGAAGGGCAAACGATGCTGCATACAACGGACTCCGGACTCGGTGCCTTGCTCCAATTCTTACTACTTATATACTTATGAGTAGTTTGTTGAAACATAAAAAAAAAACAATTACTTACTTTAAAGAACGCAACAAAATGAAATTTACTCACCAGCTCCCACTACCTTTTAGTCAAACTACACAAACACATACAAGCATATACATATACATATAAATATACAGAAAGTTATACATATATATATATATTTTTTCGCAGCCGGTTGTAAAAAAACATTTCGAGAAATAGTTACCCACTTGAAAGAACACATCGAAATGAAATTCACTCATCAGTTTTCCCCGTCTAGTCAGGCAATATGCACACACACAAGCATACACAAACGTAAACATAACCTATACATATGCATAGATGTACGTGAATATGCATACCTTTTCATACATGCATGCACATAACTTTTGACGGTACACGAGAACGGATGAGTTGGTTGGCAAAAGCGGACATTTACCAACCCGAAAGAAGACATCAAAATGAAGTGTACCCACCAGGCCCCTTTCTCCCGGTCGCTTTGGACACACGCACACAAATACATGTTTCGCTGTCTATCCATCTATTAATATAAATAAAATACGTGAGGAGAACGCTAGAGGGTGGATTTGCTGTCGTTGTGTCCTTTTTGGTAGGCAAATGCCCGTCAAAATGTGTATTGTAGTCGGCTCATCTAATCTGCTGTGACGCGACAAGACTTGCGGGGTCGTACTCAGGACCACCGTAAAAGTGGGTTCATTCTGCCTGCCTCCCACCCCATCCCGCCCCCGTCGTCCAGCTTCACGGTCCTGGCAACCTCACGCATGGCTGACCCAGTTCCGACGACCCCACAGTTCACGGCGCGCACACAGACACC